CGTGCGATAATATTGGTGAGCGCAACAATCTACTTGATGGGAATAGGATAATTCACAACCTCACCTCCCACTTTCATTCATACACCGCGTACATTGCCATGAGAAAACATGTAACGCAGACTTTCACTGTGAGATTTCGATCACCTCAGGCCGATGTTCTTCAGCTGATGTTCACTGACATACCATAACTTACTATTATCATATGAAATGATCAAGCATCCTAACCAAGTAGCATTTATCTAGTATCTGCGCCAATCGTGCAGTTCAGTGTACTACACATACTTCATTATTCATTACACTGAAATAATGCTCAACATTGCGGATATGGTTGAAATTGCAGCTGTTACGTGTTGCATGCCATCTTACATCACATGGCCATAATTAATACGAAAAGAGCGAATTCAAAATAAAGAGACGAAAGGGCGAATAATAAACATCTTCTCTACTCTTGCCCGACATGGCTAAGAGGGATTGACGAGACCAGATGATTCGAATAGGGTTAAAAGCGATTTGGATGAGTCGATATAGTTGGTATGATGAATTAATGAATAACAACCGTAGGATATACTTGAGCGGCTGACTATGTACTGAATAATATGACACTACTACGGAGACCTCTGCTACCTAGTGAAATTTACAGTTTCCACTGATGATTAGGAACAACCATTACTCAGACACTGGTGCATATCTTCGGGGATCATTGAATACGGCAGGAAGTCATAGTGATACACTCCCTGTGACTTATGGGGTAGTCTGCTCTTAATGAGATGAAGGAACTCGTTGAAGGGTGCAGGATTCCAAGAGCCAAACTCGTTGTTATAACCGCACTTCCCCGAATTGAGTGGGTACACGCATCCATCATCCTGATGCTGCAACGACCACATAAGGTGAGCGCGGCTTCGATGGTCCGCATAAGCTGCCTGGACGACCTTGTCGACGGCCTCGTTAACCACATAGTTGACCATCTTGCTAGCCTTATTCTTGTACAATAGGAACCTCGAATTGGCCGTTTGACTGATATAAGCAGTAGGACGGAAGAAATCATACCTGAGATGATATAACGCAGACGCAATTTCGCTCCAAAATTGCACACTAGGTTGGGCTTACATCTCCAGATACAAGTTATTGACCCAAGGCCACTCCTCGAATCTCCCGACTTGATCAAAACCGATGGCAACGCCAACTTCGAAGTTTGTCCCGTCCTTGAAATCTGCTTCACCTTGGGGATCCCAGAACAGATCATACTCAGTTGGGACATGCTTCATCTCCTCGTAGTCGACTGTAATCTAGTTGACATACATTGCTGTACTCCATAGAGATTCGCACTCACTCCCGAGAACTGGATAGACGATAATTTAGCGTTATACTCCTTCAATAGATGGAAAACGCCAGACATAACTTTTCCCTTCGTCGGGGCAATGCTTAACCATCCCTCTCTTGAGACCTCATCGAAGACGTAGGGGAGCATAAACACTTCACCTGAAGGGAATCACGAAGGGCTGGCTGGAGAAATGCCTAGTCTTACGAACACTTGTACCGCCAAGCTTTGTGAGGAGCTCGGTGTACATGATACTCTTCGTAACATCGCCGTCTGGATACCTTGAGACAGTCACATCATTGTGGTCGCCATCAGACTCAAGTTATGGCAACTCACCATAGCCTATCGCTGGATGAGACACCGGGAGGGAATTGGGGGTGCAGCACTCGAAGGATGAGTTTGGTGACGCGCATGTATGCACAGTTGGAGGTCAGGAGACGCAGCAGTCGCTGATAGTATCTGATCAATTAACCTCAATGCCATACAGATCGGCAGTCCAAGAAA